ATAACACCCAGTGCTCATCCCATCAAGTGCCCCCCTCAGTGCCCGTCACCCATTCACCCCCACCCCCCGCCCTCCTCCCCTTCCACCACCCCTAGTTCGTTTCCCAGAGTTAGGAGTCTTGATGTTCTGTCTCCCTTTCTGATATTTCCCACACATTTCTTCTCCCTTCCCTTATATTCCCTTTCACTATTATTCATATTCCCCAAATGAATGAGAACATACACTGTTTGTCCTTCTCCGATTGACTTGCTTCACTCAGCATAATACCCTCCAGTTCCATCCACGTTGAAGCAAATGGTGGGTATTTGTCATTTCTAATGGCTGAGGAATATTCCATTGTATACAATTTTTTTGAAGATTTTATTTATTTATTCATGAGAGACACAGAGAGAGAGGCAGAGAGAGAGGCAGCCTCCGTGCAGGGAGCCCGATGTGGGACTCGACCCCAGAACTCCAGGATCACACCCTGGGCTGAAGGCGGCCACTCAACTGCTGAGCTACCCAGGCGTTCCACCACAGTTCCTTCTAGAGCGTTGTCATCACCCAGAGAAACCCCACACAATCGGAAGCCACTCCCTGAATCCCCCAGTGGCCTCCCAGGCACAGGCAACCAACAATCTACTTTCTGTCCTCAGGTTGCCAGCCCTGGCCATCTCATCTAAGCAGTTTCGCACAGCAGGTGGTGTCCTATGACTGGTCTCCTTCACATAGCACTAGGCATCCAGGGCTCATCTGCATTGCCACAAACACCACGACTGTGTTTCTGTATGTTGCCAGTAGGATCGCATTCTGTAGATGGACCACATTTTATCCCTTCAGTGATGGTCACTTGGGTGGCTTCCACATTTCAGATATCATGGATAATACTGCAGTGAACATTCTTGTACATGTTTTGCATGGACACGTGTCTTCTTTCCTAGGGCACAAGTGAGGGCATGGACTTGCGGGGATGCAGTGGCTCCATGTGTAGATGTTCAGGGCTGTTTCTGGAAGTGGCCACACCATGCGGCACCCCTCTAGCAGGGGTAAGGTCCCAGTTCCTCCACATGCTCACCAGCACTAGTCCTCATCTGCCTGTCTGGTGGGCATGCAATTTACAGTTTTGATTTTCCTTCCCCCAGTGGTTAATGATCCTTCCATTAGCTCATTGACAATTTGTGCATCTTTCCTGAAGAAATGGCTATGTAGAGCCTTTGTTCTTCTTCTTCCCCCTGCCCAGTGGGCTCCATGCACAGCACAGAGGCCAGGGCAGGGTTTGAACTCACAACCCTGACCTTTCCCAAACCCAAGGTCATAATGTACTTCTAAGAGGTTTATAGTTTTAGCTCTTATGTTGAGGTGTTTGGCCATTTTGAGTTAACTTTCCTGTATGGTGCGAGGAAGGAGTCCATCATTGTTCTTTTGCATTCTCTTGTTCCCACTGATCTGTTGAAAAAATTATTCTTTCCCCATTGAATGATCTTGACACCCTTGTCAAAAATGAATTGCCTTAAACATGAAGGTTCGTTCTAGATTCTCAGTTCTCTTCTCTTTATCTATACATCTGTCTATCCTCTGCCGCTGTCTCTCGATTACTGTTGCTCTTTAGTAGGTTTTACAATTAGGAAGTGTTTCTAGGGATCCCTGGGTGGCGCAGCGGTTTGGAGCCTGCCTTTGGCCCAGGGCGCGATCCTGGAGACCCGGGATCGAGTCCCACGTCGGGCCCCCGGTGCATGGAGCCTGCTTCTCCCTCTGCCTGTGTCTCTGCCTCTCTCTCTCTGTGTGTGTGACTATCATAAATAAATAAAAATTAAAAAAAGGAAGTGTTTCTATATATAAGCACAGAATGAATACGCAGGTGTTCTTCAGAAGGAGGCCCATGCATTTGTTTCTCATTGCCCCTTCTTCCCTACCCCACAGACAATCTTCTCCTGGATATATTCTCCCCAGGAGAGCATCGGTTCTTGGACCGCTGCCTGATACCCCAGCTGGCCCACGTGCCATCCGGTATTCTCTCTGACACCCATTGAGGGCCTTAGAGAGTTGCCAGTCTGTTGTGATGATGGACAAAGTGTCAGTGAATAACTGTTGTACGTGTGCAGGGTTACATTGCCAGAGGTGGATCTTCAGAATACCAGCTGGGAGGGAGATTGCTGGAAACGCCTATGCGGTGTGGTTGGCCCACATGCCCCTCCAGGAGCAGTGCGGTTGTACAGCCGCCCCAGCTCCACATTGAGATTGAGACCGTCACCACAGAGTGTACTGGCAGGCTTTTAGTTGGTGACAACCTAATGAGTCAACTGCAGTGTCTCAGACAAGTTGTAATTAGCACTTCTCTTATTATGAAGTTTAACATCCTTCTATATCTTTAAGGCATCTCTTCATGTCTTTTGTCCATTTGTTTCCCACTGTATTGTTAACTCATTTACCTCCTTAAAAATTCTTTATGTATCAGGTATAGTAGCCCCTTATCTCTGATAGATGTTCAGTTTCTCTCAGTTTGTCATTTGTCTTGACTTCACTTACAGAGATTTTTTTTCTTTTGTTCTGTTTGAGCATTTTTTTTAAGTTAAATGGATTGGTCTCCCATTCCATCTGGATTTTTTTTAATAAATTTATTTTTTATTGGTGTTCAATTTGTCAACATATAGAATAACACCCAGTGCTCATCCCGTCAAGTGCCCCCCTCAGTGCCCGTCACCCATTCACCCCCACCTCCTGCCCACCTCCCCTTCCACCACCCCAAGTTTGTTTCCCAGAGTTAGGAGTCTTTCATGTTCTGTCTCCCTTTCTGATATTTCCCACTTATTTTTTCTCCTTTCCCCTTTATTCCATTTCACTATTATTTTTTTTCATTTCACTATTATTTATATTCCCCAAATGAACGAGACCATATAATGTTTTTCCTTCTCCGATTGACTTACTTCACTCAGCATAATACTCTCCAGTTTCATGAATGTCGAAGCAAATGGTGGGTATTTGTCGTTTCTAATGGCTGAGTAATATTCCATCGTATACATAGACCACAGCTTCTTTATCCATTCATCTTTCAATGGACACCGAGGCTCCTTCCACAGTTTGGCTATTGTGGACGTTGCTGCTATAAACATCGGGGTGCAGGTGTCCCGGCGTTTCACTGCATCTGAATCTTTGGGGTAAATCCCCAGCAGTGCAATTGCTGGGTCGTAGGGCAGGTCTATTTTTAACTCTTTGAGGAACCTCCACACAGTTTTCCAGAGTGGCTGCACCAGTGCACATTCCCACCAACAGTGCAAGAGGGTTCCCTTTTCTCCACATCCTCTCCAACATTTGTGGTTTCCTGCCTTGTTAATTTTCCCCATTCTCACTGGTGTGAGGTGGGATCTCATGGTGGTTTTGATTTGTATTTCCCTGATGGCAAGTGATGCAGAGCATTTTCTCATGTGCGTGTTGGCCATGTCTATGTCTTCCTCTGTGAGATTTCTCTTCATGTCTTTTGCCCATTTCATTATTGGATTGTTTGTTTCTTTGCTGTTGAGTTCAATAAGTTCTTTATAGATCTTGGAAACTAGCCCTTTCTCTGATATGTCATTTGCAAATATCTTCTCCCATTCTGTAGGTTGTCTTTTAGTTTTGTTGACTGTATCCTTTGCTGTGCAAAAGCTTCTTATCTTGATGAAGTCCCAATAGTTCATTTTTGCTTTTGTTTCTTTTGCCTTCGTGGATGTATCTTGCAAGAAGTTACTGTGGCCGAGTTCAAAAAGGGTGTTGCCTGTGTTCCCCTGTAGGATTTTGATGGAATCTTGTCTCACATTTAGATCTTTCATCCATTTTGAGTTTATCTTTGTGTCTGGTGCAAGAGAGTGGTCTAGTTTCATTCTTCTGCCTGTGGATGTCCGATTTTCCCAGCACCATTTATTGAAGAGACTTTTTTCCAGTGGATAGTCTTTCCTGCTTTGTCGAATATTAGTTGACCATAAAGTTGAGGGTCCACTTCTGGATTCTCTATTCTGTTCCATTGATCTATGTGTCTGTTTTTGTGCCAGTACCACACTGTCTTGATGACCACAGCTTTGTAGGACAACCTGAAATCTGGCATTGTGAGGCCCCCAGAAATGGTTTTCTTTTTTAAAATTCCCCCTGGCTATTTGGGGTCTTTTCTGATTCCACACAAATCTTAAAATAATTTGTTCCAACTCTCTGAAGAGAGAGTTGGTATTTTGATAGGGATTGCATTACATGTATACATTGCCCTGGGTAGCATTGACATTTTCAAAATATTAATTCTTCCAATCCATCAGCATGGAATATTTTTCCATCTCTTTGTGTCTTCCTCAATTTCTTTCAGAAGTGTTCTGTAGTTTTTAGGGTATAGATCCTTTACCTCTTTGGTTAGGTCTATTCCTAGAGATCTTATGCTTTCAGGTGTGATTGTAAATGCGATTGACTCCTTAATTTCTCTTTCTTCAGTCTCAGTATATAGAAATGCCACTGACTTCTGGGCATTGATTTTGTATTCTGCCACACTACCAAACTGCTGTATGAATTCTAGCAATCTTGGGGTGGAGGCTTTTGGGTTTTCTATGTAGAGTATCATGTTATCGGCGAAGAGGGAGAGTTTGACTTCTTCTTTGCCAATTTGAATGCCTTTTATTTCTCTTTGTTGTCTGATTGCTGAGGCCAGGACTTCCAGTACTATGTTGAATAGCAGTGGTGAGAGTGGACATCCCTGTCTTGTTCCTATCTTAGGGGAAAGGCTCCCAGTGCTTCCCCATTGAGAATTATATTTGCTGTGGGCTTTTCGTAGATGGCTTTTAAGATGTTGAGGAATATTCACTCTATTTCTACACTCTGAAGAGTTTTGATCAGGAATGGATGCTGTATTTTGTCAAATGCTTTCTCTGCATCTAATGAGAGGATCATATGGTTCTTGTTTTTTCTCTGATACGATCTATCACATTGATCTGATATGATCTATCACATTGATTTCACGGAATTCACGGAAAGGACTTGGCATCGTGCCAAGATGCACAGAGTAAATCTTAGTAGCTTTAATTATTCTCCTTTATCCTGTTAGCCTTTGTCTAGTCGTAGAGATCGACGTGCAGAATCAGATGGTGCTGCTGGAGGATGGTGAGGCCCTGCCCTTCTCCCATCTTTTCCTGGCCACTGGCAGCACCGGGCTCTTCCCGGGCAAGTTTAACCAGGTTTCCAGCCGGGAGCTGGCTATCCAGGCCTTTGAGGACATGGTGAAGCAGGTCCAGCGCTCACAGTCCGTGGTGGTGGTGGGAGGCGGCTCTGCCGGCGTGAAGATGGCAGCGGAGGTTAAGACGGAATTCCCCGAAAAAGAGGTCACTCTCATCCACTCCCAAGTGGCCCTTGCCGACAAGGAGCTCCTGCCCTGTGTCCGGCAGGAAGCGAAGGACATTCTGCTCCGGAAAGGCATGCAGCTGCTGCTGAGTGAGCGGGTGAGCAACCTGGAGGACCTGCCTCTTAACAAGTATCGAGAGCGCATCCAAGTGCACACGGACAAAGGCACGGAGGTGGCCACCAACTTGGTGATCGTCTGCAACGGCATTAAAGTCAACAGCTCTGCCTACCACAGTGCATTTGATGGTCACCTGCCAGCAATGGCGCTCTGAGAGTGAACGAGTACCTCCAGGTGGAGGGCTACAGTCACATCTACACCATTGGCAACTGTGCGGACGTGAAGGAGCCCAAGATGGCCTATCACGCCGACCTCCATGCCAGCGTCACTGTGGCCAACATTGTCAACTCCAGGAAACAGAGGCCCCTCAAGGCCTATAAGCCAGGTGCGCTGACGTTCCTCCTGGCCATGGGGAGAAATAACGGCGTGGGCCAGATCAGTGGCTTCTATGTGGGGTGGCTCATGGTGTGGCTGGCCAAGAGCCGGGACCTGTTCGTCTCCTCTAGCTGGAAGACCATGCGACAGTCTCCACCTTGAAGTGGAGCTGGGCGGGAGACAGGATGGCTGCCCCACTGGAGGCCTCACCCAGGACTCCCTTCCTGTGAACCAAGGCCAACCAGGCTCCCCTTCTGGAAACAGGACCTGCTGCCACTCGAGAGGCGCAGGCTGTTCCGTGCTGTCTGACCTTGGGGCCTAGCAGGGTAGGAGGCTCAGCCCGTTGTTCTGTTTGTAACGTTTTACAAGCGTCCATCCATGGGGACACAGTTCTCCAAACTGAGGAAATTGTTGCAATAAAAGACTATATTGTAAGGAAAAAAAAAGTGTTGAACCAGCTTTGCTTCCCGGGGATAAATCCCACTTGGTCATGGTGAATAATCTTCTTAATATATTGTTGGATCCTATTGGCTAGTATCTTGTTGAGAATTTTTACATCCATGTTTATCAGGGATATTGGTCTGTAATTCTCCTTTTTGGTGGGGTCTTTGTCTGGTTTTGGAATTAAGGTGATGCTGGCCTCATAGAATGAATTTGGAAGTACTCCATCTCTTTCTACTTTCCAAACAGCTTTAGTAGAATAGGTATGATTTCTTCTTTAAACGTTTGATAGAATTCCCCTGGGAAGCTATCTGGCCCTGGACTTTTGTGTCTTGGGAGGTTTTTGATGACTGCTTCAATTTCCTCCCTTGTTATTGGCCTGTTCAGGTTTTCTATTTCTTCCAGTTCCAGTTTTGGTAGTTTGTGGCTTTCCAGGAATGCGTCCATTTCTTCTAGATTGCCTAATTTATTGGTGTATAGCTGGTCATAATATGTTTTTAAAATTGTTTGTATTTCCTTGGTGTTGGTAGTGATCTCTCCTTTCTCATTCATGATTTTATTAATTTGAGTCTTTTCTCTCTTCTTTTTAATAAGGCTGGCTAATGGTTTATCTATCTTATTAATTCTTTCAAAGAACTAACTCCTGGTTCTGTTGATCTGTTCCACAGTTCTTCTGGTCTCGATTTCATTGAGTTCTGCTAGAATCTTAATTAACTCTCTTCTTCTGCTGGGTGTAGGATCTATTTGCTGTTTTTTCTCCAGCTCCTTGAGGTGCAAGGTTAGCTTTTGTATTTGAGTTCTTTCCAGTTTTTGGAAGGATGCTTGTGTTGTGATGTATTTCCCCCTCAGGACTGCTTTTGCTGCATCCCAAAGGTTTTGAACGGTTGTATCTTCATTCTCATTAGTTTCTATGAATCTTTTTAATTCTTCCCTAATTTCCTGGTTGACCCTTTCATCTTTTAGCAGGATGGTCCTTAACCTCCACGTGTTTGAAATCCTTCCAAACTTCTTGTTGTGATTTAGTTCTAATTTCAAGGCATTATGGTCTGAGAATATGCAGGGGACGATCCCAATCTTTTGGTATCAGTTCAGACCTGATTTGTGACCCAGTATGTGATCTATTCTGGAGAAAGTTCCTTGTGCCCTTGAGAAGAATGTGTATTCAGCTGCGTTTGAATGTAAAGTTCTATAGATATCTGTGAAATCCATCTGGTCCAGTGTATCATTTAAAGCTCTTGTTTCTTTGGAGATGTGCTTAGAAGACCTATCAATTGTAGAAAGGGCTAGATTGAAGTCACCACATATAACTGTGTTATTATCTAAGTATGTCGTAACTTTGGTTATTAATTGATATATTTGGCATCTCCCACATTTGGGGCATATATATTGATGACTGTTAGGTCCTCTTGTTGGATAGATCCTCTATGTATGATATAGTGTCCCTCTTCATATCTCACTACAGTCTTTGGGGTAAATTTTAGTTTATCTGATATAAGGATGGCTACCCCTGTTTTCTTTTGAGAACCATTTGAATGGTAAATGGTTCTTCAACCTTTTATTTTCCGGCTGTAGGTGTCCTTCTGTCTAAAATGAGTCTCTTGTAGACAGCAAATAGATGGGTCCTGCTTTTTTATCCTGTCTGAAACCCTGCGCCTTTTGATGGGGTCATTAAGGCCGTTCACGTTCAGAGTTACTATTGAAAGATAGAAGTTTAGTGTCATCATGATATCTATTCAGTCCTTGTTTTTGTGGATTGTTCCACTGAACTTCTTAAAGGGGAATTTTAAGAGTCCCCCTTAAAATTTCTTGCAGAGCTGGTTTGGAGGTCACATATTCTTTCAGTTCCTGCCTGTCTTGGAAGCTCTTTATCTCTCCTTCCATTCTGAATGAGAGCCTTGCTGGATAAAGTATTCCTGGTTGCATGTTCTTCTCATTTAGGACCCTGAATATATCCTGCCAGCCCTTTCTGGCCTGCCAGGTCTCTGTGGAGAGGTCTGCTGTTACCCTAATACTCCCCCCCATAAAAGTCAGGGATTTCTTGTCTCTTGCTGCTTTAAGGATCTTCTCTTTATCTTTGGAATTTGCAAGCTTCACTATTAGATGTCGAGGTGTTGAACGGTTTTTATTAATTTTAGGGGGGATCTCTCTATTTCCTGGATCTGAATGCCTGTTTCCCTTCCCAGATTAGGAAAATTTTCAGCCATGATTTGTTCAAATACATATTCTGGCCCTCTGGCCCTTTCGGCGTCCTCGGGAACCCCAATTAAACGTAGATTTTTCTTCCTCAGGCTGTCACTTATTTCCCTTAATCTATCCTCATGATCTTTTAATTGTTTGTCTCTTTTTTCCTCAGTTTCCCTCTTTGCCATCAACTTGTCTTCTATGTCACTCACTCGTTCTTCCACCTCGTTAACCCTCATCGTTAGGACTTCTAGTTTGGATTGCATCTCATTTAATTGACTTTTAATTTCTGCCTCATTAGATCTAAATTGTGCAGTCATGAAGTCTCTTGAGTCCTTTATGCTTTTTTTTAGAGCCACCAGTAGCTGTATAATAGTGCTTCTGAATTGGCTTTCTGACATTGAATTGTAATCCAAATTTTGTAGCTCTGTGGGAGAGAGGACTGTTTCTGATTCTTTCTTTTGAGGTGAGGTTTTCCTTCTAGTCACTTTGCTCAGTGCAGAGTGGCCAAAAACAAGTTGTATTGGGAAAAAGAGAGAAGAGAAAGAAGAAAAGAAAAAAGAAAAAAAGGGAAAAAAGAGGAGAAGAAAAGAAAAAAAGGGGGGGGGAAGCAAACAGAAATCAAAAAAATAAAAAAAAAAAACAAGGGGGAGTATCTTCTGATTCTGTATACTGTAAATCCCTCGACTTCCCCTGGAACTTTCCAGTGCTGCTTGGTCAATAATTTGTTTTTCCCCTGTGGGTCTAGCTGGTCTTCTAGGGGAGGGGCCTGCTGTGCTGATTCTCAGGTGTGAGCACTTCAGGGAGCTGCTCATCCCCCTGCCTGGTGCATGGCTCAGTGGGAGCTGTTTAACCTGTTTATCCTGTGAGGCCACTGTGAGGCTCAGTGGAGGTTGTTTATCCTGCGAGGCCCCAGGAGGAACAACCACAGTGGCGGCGGCCAGCTCTCCAGCCCTAGAGTCAGCTCCAGCAGTAGCTACCACAGCTCTAAGTCTGCAGGGGCCTGGATGCTCCGGGGGTGGGGCTGCTGACCTGCTCACTGAGCTGCTCCCGGGGCCACACAGTGTCCCCCCCCACATCTGGATTTTGATTCACAGCTAGAAAAGCTTCTTCTACACCCACACCATGGAAGAACTGTGCAGCCTCATCGTGTTACAGTTCAGTCTCTGGTCCATTTAGGTCTTGTTCTTGCATATAGTGTGAAGAAGGGATCTAATTTCATCTTTTTCCAAATAGCGATCCAGTTGTCCCAGCACCATTTGTTACACTGTCCGTCTTAGCTCTGCAGATTGAAGATAATGTCTGTCCATCTGCACTGAGCTCTATTTCCAGGCTTTGTCCTCTTGGTCAGTGGAGAATGCTTTGCAGTTTGTTTTCAGTAGTTCAACTTGTGATTTCCCTGTTCTTCAGCCATTTTTGTGTATTTGTCCATATGTACTTTAACATCAGCTTGCCTAAAGCAAAAAAAAAAAAATTAAAAATGATTTTTAAAAAGTTTACTGATCCTTTGTTGAAATCCCATTAATTTCACACTGTACCTTCAGGAGCCCTGACATCTGGGTGATTGAGAAGCCATATCCAAGGACAGAGGGAGCCTGTCTGTTTATTCACATCTACTGGTCCAGTTATTTGCTGCTGCATGGCTAACCACCCGAGACTGAGCTGGTTAAAACAACATTTCTGAGTCAGGGATTCACCATGCTTGGCTGGGCAGTGTGCTGTACTACATGGGGTCACATGGGCCGCCCTGGAGGCCCCAGATGACGTCACGGACGTGTGGGAAGCCTAGCCTTGCTTGGGCCTCTCATCTCCCACGTGGCCTTTCCCACTGTGGCTCCACAAGGACCCTTGTGTGGTCTCTCAGGGCTTACGGGCACAGGGGGACAAGAGACAGCAGGTGGGGCCAAAGCACACGAGCATCCCTTATGCTATCTTCTGTTGTCACAAGGCCTCCCTGGATCCGAGGGGCTGGTCCTGAGAGCCCTTGACCCATAAAAGGCTGGTCGGAGGCCAGTGGCCTCCTCAGCCTGACACATCTGCGTGATGAGGAGTGTTTTCTGTGCCTGTTAACAGGTTTTGCACATGTCTTGGTAGATTCGTAAGCTGCTGATTCTGTTTTCTTGCTGTTGTAAATGAACCTTTCTCTCCCACTATATTGGGTCACTTTTTGCATCTGAACACTGCTGCTTTTCTGCAGGTTAACTTGACATCCCAATTTGTTGATTTTTTTTTAGTTAGTTTTGTAACTGATAATCTGGATTTTCCTAATGCAATACCATCTTGTCATCTGTATACAGAGATACTTGCACTTCTTTTCTAATCTTTAGGCCTGTGATGTGTTTTCCAAGGGAAGACCATGGGAATGCCTCAGTATTTCCCCTTCTGGAACATGCCAGCTTCTGTCAGGATATCACCGTACTAGGGAGTAACATTCAAGTTATCTGAAGTGCTTCTAATTAGGATGGTAATGAATTTTGTTAGTCTTTCTTTCTTTCTTTTCAGCATATATGGAGGTAATCATATAAGTTTTCATTGTAGACCCATTCATATGATATTGGTAGATTTCCGAGAATCAAACCACCCTTATATTCCTGTGTAAGTCTCACATGGTTGCTGACTTTTTTTCTTAATGTAAGAGTCTGTTTGCTGAGACACTGCATCTCTCTATGTCTCTCATGAATAAATAAATAAATAAATAAATAAATAAATAAATAAATCTTTAAAAATGAGTCTGTTTGCTAATATTTTATTTTGAAATTTTATATTCATAAATGATACTGGTCTAAAATTCTCTTCTCTGTATGAGTGCTTATCTCTATCAGTTTCAGGTATGTTATACTTGCTTGATTAAAGAAACCTGAAGTCTGCCCTCTGAAATTATTTCATGTTGGGGCTAGCTGGCCTGTAAAAATATGGTACAACTCTCCCATGAAACCATCTTACTTGGTGCTTTTTTTTTTTTTTACTTTTTTAAAATTTTATTTATTATTTTTTTTTACTTAAAAAAATTTTTTTTTTTTTACTTGGTGCTTTAAAGGAGGGCAGCTCCCTGATGAGTTTCTGACTTT